GGCTGATTTCTGACAGAAAGCCATTAAGTTTAGAGCAGTCGCTTTGACATTTGATAGGCAAAGATATAGACAGATCGTCAGCGTATTTGACAAAATTAATGTCATTTGAAGATGGCAAGTCATGTAGAAAGAAAGAAAAGAGAAGTGGGGAGAGTACAGCACCTTGGGGGACTCCCGCTTCAGTGAGTACAGCAGAGGATGATTTACCTTTGTACACGGTGTACTGCATTCTGTTAGAGAAGTATAACTGCAGCCAGTTAGTGACCCAGGACTCAGTTTTCGTCAAAGAGAGCTTATTTAGCAGGAGACATCTAGGAACAGGGTCGAAAGCAGAAGTGAAGTCAAGAAATGTGCAGCGGACGTACTTGGCACCTTTATCTAATGATGAGACAATGTTGTTGTGCAAGACAGCTGCAGCGTCTAATGTACTCCTACCCTGCCTACAGGCAAATTGTTTGGGGTCTTCGAAGTTTTTAAGGGAGGGTTCGAGTTTAAGAAGTATTAGTTTTTCCATAAGCTTTAGAAACGGGGAAGTGATGGCAATGGGTCTGAACTTTACGTTCTTGCCATTTCCAGGTTTAGGGACAGGGACAATTTTGATGTCTTTCCATGCATCAGGTACGATATTTTTAGAGAAAGAAGAATTTAGGATGTTGGTTAGTGGAGAACACAGCACATCTGCACATTGTTTTAGAACATAGGCAGGTATACCGTCAGGACCGAGGCTACGTGAGGGCTTGAGCGTTTTAAGACATTTTAGAGCATCGAGAGTATTAAAGTCATGAAAGTTTTCAGCTACATGATAGGTAACATTAGAAGTAGTTAAAGTAGAAGGACAGCGTATAAAAGACTGATTAAGAGCATTAACATCATAAGAGGGAAAAGCATTGCAACGCTTACTATTACCAGTAATTTCATTGAAAAGTTTCCACATACTGATTGGAGATTTACATGATAAAAGTGTATCATTATAGATAGCATTAAGATTTTTGATTTCAGATTTGATTTGAGCATTAATCTTTTTGAGTCCTAACTTGTCTTTGGATTTGTATAAAGTTTCCTTTTTCCTGCGAAGTTGTTTGAGATAAAGAGATGAGAAGCAGTCGAGGCGTTTGAATAGAGTTTGTTTGGGACAGCATATATCAAGGCAAAACTTAAGATAATCCGTTATATTGACAATTGTGTCATCTAATGAACTTTCATGGAATAAATCCCAGTTAGTATTTTGTAACATGCTCCTTAGATTGAGTAAGTTTTCGGATGAGTAGCATCTTTGTTGTGCTTTCATAGACAGATGCGAGAAGACTTTAATATGTGTTTTGCTGTAAATTTTTGGTAGAACACGACCTAGGCGGCCTGTTTGAATTTTTGGGCCTGCTACCATAAAATCTACATATTGCATCCAACCTACCATTTACTCCATTTATTTATCACCCAAATATGAATTCTAAAATGTATAAAACTTGGGCACTGTGGTAGAGTATAACTCCATAATGGTTAAGATTTTATTTTGATAAATCACACAGTGTTGTACAGTTATATTAACTGATGACGTTTCGAGCACAAACTATTGCTCATAATCATATCAAGTTACTCACACAACTTCTTTCCTTCATTTATATACATGTGTGGAATCGACTAGATATTGGAATAAAATTCAATATGAGATAATGTACATTCAGAAATAATAGTACGAGTGTTATTTCTGAATGTACATTATCTCATATTGAATTTTATTCCAATATCTAGTCGATTCCACACATGTATATAAATGAAGGAAAGAAGTTGTGTGAGTAACTTGATATGATTATGAGCAATAGTTTGTGCTCGAAACGTCATCAGTTAATATAACTGTACAACACTGTGTGATTTATCAAAATAAAATCTTAACCATTATGGAGTATTATTTGGTTCATGGGCAAGAATCCATCGGAGCAGCTTAGTGGTTAATGCATATTCATGATAGGCCACAATTCTTGACCATATATCCGAGCATTGTTTTCAAACACTTCTTTAAAAGCTGTCATAGAAATTGCTTAAGATGAAGTCCAAAGTTTGTGGATAACCAGCCTATTTTAAGAATAATGTTCCACAAATAAACCTCTTTCTAACACGTAGACTAGATTGAATAATTTTACGGTAGCATAAATAGGTTTACCTAGATTGAAATATGGTTGTTGTCAGTCAAATGAAGGTTAAATATTACTACACTGACAAGTATCAACATTCATTTACCACTCATATAATTCCTTGTATAAACTGTTTATCTGGGTGGTCCAGAAATGACACCAGCAGCTGTATTCCAATTACTAAAAATAAGTTTAAAAAATTACCACATGTTAAATACTTATGAAGTAAATAATCCTTTCTGAGTTCTTATATCCATTCTAAAGATATAATAGAGTGTCTGATGGTATACAACCAATATAATAACTCACATTCAATATTCGAGAACAATAGATGATTTCAGATAAACGTTCTAATTCAATCCATACGCAAACTTCCCGAGATTTGTGAAAGAAGTAAATGATATAACATGTTATCCTTAATACTTTTCATTTTTCAAAACAGGAATCTTTAACTAACATAACGTTTGTCTATTAGGTGCATACAAAAGATTTCTCAGTCATATTAGACATGAGGTAGAAGTAAACAGAAGTTCATTTCCGTTGAAGATGAACTGTGGTTTATCATCTATTTAAACCAGTTATGAATGAAACGAAGCATCTCACCGATGGGCAAAATATACTGACAACCTCTTTCCCTAAACTAATAATTATTAACAAGCACTATGTGCTCATGAAGATGCGTGTACTGACATGACGGAAAATGAAGACCCAAAATATTTCTCAAAACGTCATACGATAAATTACCAAAAGCTGCGAACCCTACGAACCTTGATCTTATTCAGTACTACTATGCTTTACACTAGGTGACAAATTAATCTGTCAACGTTTTTATTCTTATGATATGAACAAATTTCATCTAGAATACTCAGTCTTCCTTTCGTGTAAAATGATTTGCATATTTGTGGAATAACTAGACAAGTACACAAAGTGTTGTGATTTTTTGGAATTATTTTATCAATTTTCGTCGCGGTTCACAGGATGTAACTGCTGGGGATAAATTTGATGATTTACGACTGTTGTCTTAATTTCTAAATAAATGAAAAACATTTTTACACATATATTATTTACCGGTATAAGTGCACTGAGTAAATACTCTTAGGTGAAACAATTGCTTGTATTCCCCAGAAACGGTTTTTAGAAATATTGAGTTACCTATCTGTTTCATCCTATTCCTTCCTGTGTTTTTAGCTTTATCACTGCTCGTATTGATAACTGAAAACTTCAGATTACAGTTCATGCTTAAGTTGTGCATCATAAACAAAGAATATATATTCTATAAATAAAATCAGACTGCATTATTGATACCAGTTGATTTTATCCACTTAATTTATCTTAGTTATAATTTTAGAAGACAGAATTAGGTGCGGATGATATACAAGATTACACATCAAATCAAAATCATGTGTTTTACGTGTTATCTATCTAAAATAAATGTAATAATTATGGTTGAAATCTACTCATAATTTTTAATATGCCTAGAAACAATGAAAAATGTGAAGCAGTATAGTATAGTAGACAATGTGATGAAAAATGTAGAGTCATAAATGATTTCACAAGTTTCTGTAAAAAACAGAATATCAGCGTGAAAAAAATGAGATGGAAAGTGTGCGCACTATTCATCCATCTAGACAATGTGATAGGATCACTTGAGCTGACAAAGATAAATATATCTTTATAATTCCTTTCAAATGTCTTCCGTTTACATCACATGACAATACGTGAAATTATTATGTAATAATATTTCTTACTAAAAGTTTATTTTCATTTATTAATATACTTAACCTTGCGAAAAAGTTAAATGTTCACATATGCAAGATATCTCTAACTACTTATCTCTCAAGCCACTATTTTTTGACTGGACACTTTTAGCTTTCACTTGTTAAGCAACTCTTCATGAGACCTTAGCTAATGAAGAATTCAGGTTTTTAGTGGCTTCTTTTAGGATACATCTGTAAACTGATCGCTTATGCTTTCCACTGTTACTGACCCTACTAAAATTATCTGCTCCTGCCTTTATACAATATATTTTTGCAATGTTTCCGGTTTGCATTAAATAATCTCAAACTGGTTTCGAATTGTTCCAGGTGCATCTATATACGGAATCGAAATAGTGGTATTCACTGTATTAAGAGGTTTACTCGGATTAATTTGAAAGTTTGTTATCAATATATTTTTATATCATAAATTTTAGAATGTGCAGACCAAGAAGACTTCATAGACTATTTTAAAGGTTTTTCGCAATCTTCTTTGACTTAGGTAAGAAATTTTTCAATATCTGCTCTGACATTCAATAACTTAGGGAAGCATCTGTCTTTATATTTTAGCACTTGAAAAGTAATCAAATGTTCCAAAAATTACCGTTAATTCGGTGTCGAATCACTGTTGAGAGTTATCCATTCACACTGATGCATGAGGTCTATTTATCACTTAGGATTTACCTGACTCAGGCTACTTTTGCCAATTTTCCTAGCTAGTAATTATCTAAACAGTAAGTTAAGGGAGAGTAGAGGCGAAACGGTTCTTTTAAACAAAATTTTGTGCTTATATTCTCCTCCAAATGAATTCATAGGATGTTGTTTTTTCTAAAAACTGGATACAGAATACAATATGATGAGTAATGCAGCAAGACTAATTACGTATAAAACCATGAAATTCCCTAAAAAATACTTTAGTTTTAATCATTAACGTGGCACAATACACTTTCACCTCTTCAAATTACTCTTCTATTGCTTTTATAGCCTTTCAAACAATGTACCGTAGTAGAAAACGAAGTAAATAAACTGAAGTTTTATATAAGTATATTCAGAAAGTGATAAATGTTGTATACAAGATATATGACATGATTACAAATAAATGAATGTAAATGAAGTATCACAATACGGGATAGTATTCCTGAAAGCAAAAATATAAACAGCTTATTAGTCCTATGTATTATTGATATAAGTATAAAACTTGGGCACTGTGGTAGAGTATAACTCTATTATGGAAAAGATATTATTCTGATTTAATCACACAGTGTTATACAGTTATATTAACTAATTACATTTCGAGCACAAACTATTGCTCATAATCATATCAAGCTTATTAGCCCTTCATTATGCTGAAACAGTTGCAGCAACAAAGTGCTTAATTAGTTATCTGTCAAACATATTTTTACTTCCAAACGAAAGTTACATATGTTTCCAAGAAAAGTTTCCAATTTGATTATTGCCAAGCCTTGTATATCAGAGCATGACATAAAAATTGGTGGCTTAAATATTTTGGTTTATCAGTTGTAGATTCCCCTGCAGGATTCAAAATTCAGTCTTTCTATTCTTTTGTTTCTGAAAGATTTATCTTAACCAGAGATTTGAATACAGCTTCAAATCATTTAAGAAGGTTAACCAAAAAACCAATAAATGTGATTCATTCAGCATCGTGCGTCGGTGGCACAGTGGTTAGGACTCTCGCCGACCATGCACATGGTCCGGGGTTCGAACCCCTGCCGGCGCACACCCGATATCTATGGTATGCCTGAATTTGGGCAACCGATATCCATGCTGAAAGTTCCACACTTGTACTGAAAATACGGTTTGGAAATCAAGCTGTAAATCCAAAAAAAAACCTCAAATCAAAATAGGTTTTAGGATGATAAAGGTACTTACAGATAACTGTACGAATATTCAATAATGCATTTTATGCACCGGATAAGGCAAGCTTGCAAAGTGCATACCTATGAATGCCAATGGTAAAATCCTCAGATTGTGAATCTTATTTGAAGAAACCTATGCTATGCGGGTACTTTAATGTCAAATGATATGAAAGCACTGACACAAAGAAGGCTAAAAAAAGATCGACAAAACATAAAAGTCTCCCTGCACGAGTCTGACTTTAGATGGCAATATTTTCTTGTATGTTTGTATTATTGCTTTACTGATTGGTACTATCATAATAATATGATTGCAGTTTAACCATTGCGAAAGAGTACTTATCGGAATGAGTTTATCTCGGAAGTAACTAACACCGAAATTCTGATAATATTTGCTGAGCGCACCTTGAAAAGCTCATCATTGTTTACGTCATGTATATTTGTGAATCTCCACTTTAAAGTTCATTCATTTCTTTTGGTTAATCTTTGCAATAAGCATTAATTAACTCAAATAGAATGTAACTTTTGTTTTTAAAACCGTCAGAGCAATTTAAGATTGTTAATATCACGGGAGAGAATTTAAAATGAACTCACTGAAAGTAGTAATTGATGAAAGAGATTCTCTACGATGATGTATGATAATTCTTCTCTACTAGTAATATCTTCTGTACACAGTGTCACTGAAAAACATAATGGCAATGAAATCAGGTACTCAAAGCATATAAACACGCTGCCAATATTTTTACCACTGAAAAATGTAATTATCAGTTAGGTAGCACTTCATATCTGTCAAGTGCTAACATAGGTTATAAAAGATTTTCGTATATGAAATAATGGAAGGATTAAGCAAAGTTTGTGCACCAAAAGTAAGTGAGAAATCGCTCAAAACTAACTAATTCTTCATTAAACCAAGTGGAAGAGACTGAATAAATCATTTCAAAATCTATCAGCAGCTTTACTACTCATTGGGTATGGAGACATCATTGGAAAAGCAGCGTATATTCAATGCATCAAATTCAAATGGATCATGTAATAAAGGCAATCATGCGTAAATAGCTAGTCTCCAGCTTCATAACAGTAATTCATTTTCCCTGTTGGTTATTTTCATGGCATAAGACCATTAATGTCTATGTAACCATCCAGTATACAAAACTGAGAGGCTAACAAAATGCTACAATGCTAAATTCTCAAAGTAAAGAGTATATACGGGAAAAACAACACCACAATTTAAATTGGCTGCTTGCATCGGATGGAGAGCTAATACCGAAAAATGCTACTTTTAAGCGATTTTAAATTTCTCAGTTATTCACTAATATAAGCACAGTTTATTGATTGCTCAATGAATTTCCCGTTCTGGTATCATTCTTAGTTTTCAAAGGTGAATTATAAAGCATCATGTTGGTAACCTCGACACAAACGTTATCCATATACTAAACTGATATATGTATTAACGGTTAACCATTTAAAAAGCGAAATAGTCTAGAGATACCGTATTTAAAATTTTAATTTGTATTCACATACTCGTAAATATCGACTTTCTGACCCCCAAAAGGTGGATATGAATATCCATAAAGTGAGCTTATTTGAATGTTAAGAGAAAAAGAAAAGGAAATGCGTTAGAAGAATATATGTAAAGGATCTTGAAGATGTAAAATAAAATCACCAAATAAAGTTGAGAGATCTCTTTTTGATAAACACGTTGGTTATTTGTCAGAATGACAGTACTCGATGCCAAGTAGTACTTGCAGTAAAGAATATTTGCTATTCAGGACGATGTTTGTCCAAGGTTACATTATATTAGCAAATATGTAACTAGCAGGAAAATTACTTCTTTTTAAAGTTTTCAGTGTTCAAAATTTATAAGACTATAATAAAAGTTTCACAACTGAGAAAAAAGGTAACATAATCTCTGTAATTAGTCCTCAGCCCTAGATTAGTTTATACATCACAACTCACCATCTTCAGTTATAAACAGTTTTTTCACTCATGTCTCCCAGTGGAACATAGGGCTTCAAGCTATTGGCTTGAAGTTTATGTAGCAGTGTTTATTTTACAGGATGGGGTTGCTAGCCTCATGCCCAACATTTCCTCTTGACCAGCATTATTTCTGGCTTAGTAAGGTAAAGGAGTGCGTCGGCCGGGGATCGAACCCCGGACCATGTGCATGGTCGGCGAGCGTCATAACCGCTATGCCACCGACGCTTAGTTATTAACAGTACCGTGTGTTAATTATCGAAACCCATGCCAAAAGCTCAATCTTCACAGCCTAAAGAATTCAAAGATGTGCTAAGAATGCCAGATCACCTTCGCTACTACTAAGTAAGTTTAGTCTTATATGCGTCGCGTTTGGCTCCACTACATAGCTTATGGATAAGTACCACTAAACTGAATGCTTTGTGGCATCTTATATTTGGTAAAACTTTAGAATTTACCGCCTTGCTGCCTACATGCAAATGTTAATGAGAAATCTGGAGCTAACGTATGACTTTTACTTTTAACTTTCGGAAGTCATACATTGACTAAATCTTCTGGTTAATCATTCAACATTCTTTATCTGAAGTACTTTGACATATTACTTCAACAACACTTATTTCTACGTACAGCTGTATTCTCTACACTTCAGTAAAGTAATGGCATTTTAATAATTCAAACTGTAGAACAAATAAAGATCTTAGGACTAATTACATTTATAATATTAAAACAGCTATCGGTCACTGAACAGAAGTAACCACCAGTATGAGGCTGGTGGAAGTATATTTCAGTAAAAATTCATTACATATATGGCAAGAAACATACTTATCATAAAAAATGATAAAAGCACTGTTATACCTTCGTGCAAGCAAATATTTAGCTTCCATAACTTGAAAAATTCACACAACTTACAGAACTATTAATTGAATAAGTACAATTAAAAGTCTAATTCCCACTGATGTTAATGTCTCTGTACTCACCTGTTATCATACAGACCACTGTATGACCGGGATCGACGCAGTGAAATTGAAGGCGAGTAGCTCGGTTGATATACATCTGACACATAACTAAAGATCAAATGTAAGATTAAATTAGCAACACAGTATATAAGATACCTTTTTACACATTATTTGGATGAAACAATTTGTATTCTGTTAATATGCCTAATTTCTAGTAATTATATTGCTCGTTGTTAAACTGTAAAATGATCAACGGCGATCTGGTATTTTCACAACTTCGAGAGATTTTTTGAAATAATATAGACTCAGTAATCTACACTGCTATCAAATTGAACATGAAGAACACATAAGTTAATTACTCAAAAAAATCAGAGAAGCAATACTATTTAGTAGGGGACTATTTGAAGATCTATCATTTTTTAAATCAATGTGGGTATAGTAACTTTTTAAAGCAAAACAAAAGCCTCTTTAGCTTCAAATATCAGGGCCTTGAGTTAACATACATATTGCTGCCAGTTAACACACGTCATTTTGCTCATTCAATGTACAATGTATTCCCGGATTTTGTGGTGCTTTTAAGCTAGACTAGTGTAACAATAGGTATAGCGGGACAACCTGTTTCAAATTCCTACTGAAGTCTTACTCACCTTTATACTGCTACCATGACTAAGAATTTAAGAGAACGTATTAACCGGATGATGTACTGTGAATATTGTTTTAACATTTCTTGGTGAGAAAAATCACTCCTCATGAAGATTCTTCAACCTACTTTAAGCTAATTATTTTATTTTATGCATCAAGTGCTTAAGATTAATATCACCCATAATAGCCTTTTATTTTAAAATTTACGAAAAATAACTGGTAAAATGCTGAAGTAATACATGATACATCTGATTTTGAAGTGTTCCACCTATTGTTCCTCCATATTACCATACCTTCATGAGAATTTCATATATCATACTGAATACCCGCGGGAAATTATAGTCTTTATGTCACACCAAATTATTTGTTTCCCATTAGTCTTCTGAAACTTAAAAACATTTAAGAAATAAGCAAAAACAACCAATGGATATGTTAGTTTTATCTATTTTTGAAGCTTGAAGCTATAGGTGGATAAACGATCCTCAAAAGGGTGTATTTCACTTATACTAGCACATAATGACAATAGACTATGCAAGGTAATATGGAGGTCTTCTAAATGCAGAGCCTTCAGTTTGTGTGAAAATATTCAAGAACTATGTGAAAAACAGCTGTTTAATATCCGGGTAACTTTCAGGATGATTTACCTTTTTACAGAAACCATAATCAAGGACAAAACGGGAAAGATTACATTTTTTAATGATGAATATAACAAGAGTTATCAAAGAATATGGCCTTTTGGTGAAAATAAAAAATGTGGAACGCTGCTTTGTGTTGTCTTTAGTCTTCGATAACAATCAGAATCATTTAGTTCATCCAGTTTAACTTATCAGAGGGATTGCGGGAAACACTTTGCAACGTAAATAAAGGCGATATATGATCAGTAAATTGATGAGCATTATTTTCTATAACACAGCGAAAAGTTCCACAAAAATAAAAGTAGACACAAAATCTATCATTTCAGTAGGTTTGCATCAAGTCAGTTTGGTCTACTACTATAAATATTACATCTAATGAGAATTCATTGAAAAGTCACAGGAAAGCCAATTACATTTTGTTTATTTCTATCAAAATGTAGAGAAACGTTTTGTAAAGGAACTTTCTGTTTCCATATTATCGTGAATTTGAACCTATAAACAGCATCTCGGACCACAATGATAATGAATACAATTAAAAGTATTCCTTAATTTATTCACCACTCTACACCATAAGAAATCAAAAACTAAACATTTTGATTGATGGAGTAAGCTGTAAATCTCTAAAAACACACCAAAGTTCTCAGACATACACTCAATTCAGTATTTCTGAAACGTGTGAAACTAAAACAATTTATATGCCTATAATGGCCTTGAGTGTTTCTCTTCTGTTCCAGAAAGTAAATCTTATAACAACTGTTCTCTTGATAAACGCTATTTACTTTTGCAATCATATGCTCAAGGTACATTTAATAACGTTGGATAATCACAGGAATTACTGAATTTTTAAGGGCTGAACACAAATTTTACATCGTAATAGAGACAAAGCTCCGTAAAACAAATGTACTTTCTAATGCAAAATATTGGAATAAGAATTCTAAAGATAGTACTGTAGTTTATATCAAATATCTGAATTATTTTAATATGTGTAGAAAAATGATATATGTTTTTGTTTTCATTCTTCAAATACAGCAGAAGAAATGGGCCGTAAGTGTAACGGTACCGTGTCAATTAGACATTTGCATGATGGACATAGCACACAAATATAATCAGCGATGTTATCCAGTAGGCATATTTTTAATAAAACAGGCTAATCAAGTACAAGACAGAAATTTTACTGATAGAAAACAAAATACCTTGAAGTAGTTGGATAGTCTCTGTAGATGTAGATTCGTTTCCCATACTGTAAGTCGCTCTACAACATAAAATCAACACAAAAATTAAAAGTAATTCGAAAAATTTACGTAATTTTAATATGTTATAAATTATCAAAATAATATGAAGCTGAAAATCCAGTTCATCATAAAATATACATCATTCTCGCAACAAATGAAGTGATAAATCAAATAAAAGTGCATCAATTTCTTATGCATTAAGATGAAATATTTTCAGGTAGACCCACTGCATAACATATTATATATCCTTAGGGTTTTTCTCGTTCTGTATTGCTCTATATTGAATAGCACAAGGACTGTCATGGAATTTTAATTGATACTATGAATTTTCTAATCCCTTTCCACTTTATTATGCCTTCAAATTAAGCCACTCTTTAAATATATGAGAACCGTCTGACTGATAGAATAATACAGAGGCTAACGCAAACAGTTAGCGCTTCAGTTTTCAATAGACAAAGATGAACGTGACGGAGACAATAGCAGACTAATTATTACTTAGGTCTTTCAGGCTCTGATAGATAACAAAGGACAAATTTATTGCCTAACTTGTGAAACGCAAACAGTTCTCAGCGTCTCTGTGATAAAAGCCAAGCTATTCATACCTGCCTAAATGATTCAAGGCGAAATTTAGCAGATCCAGAGTTTCATGGCATAATTTTTACTACACATCTCTACGCCGTTTCCAGAACTAGTCCTATTTCACCTAATATCCAGATAGTTAAGCAAAAATATTCCATCTCCCAACCTAATTAATTAATTTTTCCTTACACCTCATATCTTTCTCTAATACTAGCATTTCTCACCATATCTCAACTACTGCAAAAAGACATCTATTATAAGAGACCTCCAATCTTTTCATAACATCCACTTCCAAAGACTACGCCTAAAGGCTAACAGGCTGAACCAAGCGAACCGCTTTACATGACTGGTGAAAGGCCAGAAATCTGACTGGTGTCAAAAATAGCACCAGTTTGCGAACACCAAAGCTGCATTTTGTATCTCTGCTTAGATTTTATTACAGACCAGTCAACTACGGTTGGTGCAATTCACCATGTAAGCAAAGTGGACAACACGAAATCATTAAACAAGGAATAAAGATAGACGAATCGAAGAGGGTTTTTAGGAGTTTGACATGGGTCACTTTGATGCCAAATGCACTCATACATTTATTTGTGGCCTGCAGATGAGCAAATGAAATAGATTGATCAGCTGTTTAGATATTTCCAAAGTTAAATCCCCCAGTCAGAACTATAAAATAATAATATTTCATATTTTCAAACTGATGAGGAATCACTACCTACACGAAGTGTCTGAATTGGTGTCAGGTGTAGTCAAAAGACTTTAAACCTGCTTAATTTCGAGCTCACTTTAAATTAGCTTTGAAAATACCGGGACGAATACAGAATGACCGTCGCCTTATTAGTTTTGTTACTGAGAAGACAGTATATGTTTTGCTATCAATAAGGGTCAGCAGGTTTTGCATGCTGAAATTCTAAATATATGCTTCTGAATAAAAAATGTCCCTTCGTTTTGTTTTGTTTGACCTTTTTAAATGCAAATAATAGTTTATTTCTCAACTAAAATAATACATAGTTCAAAATTTTAATAAATGGAAAAGGTTCCTCCATTACAAACAAATTCTGGTTGCATATAACTATTTAAAAAGATGGATGCACATTTAGTCACTTCTAAGATTGCTGTCAAAAAGAAATGTACAAATCTAGCGCTATGCCATCACCACAAAAAAATTAACTCAAAACGCATTATATATCTGTTAAGTTTTCGGATAGAAAGTTCTCTCTGTAAGTGATTTTGTACTAATGCAGAAGAGTATCAAAAGGAAACCACTCAAGAATAGGAATTCTAGATAAAACTAGCTGATGTTCCTCAAGAACTTCACTAGCAATATAAAAATCGAGTGACAAATAGGCATGTTACGCTGAGACAAATGTATAATATTCACACAAAGAATACTTCATTTTCAGCTTTAAACTTTCTAGAAGCACACACACTGACAAAATGAAGAGGAATTCTATTGTTTCAAAACAATCTGAAAAGTCAACTTAACACAATCATAATCACTCACATTAATTCTTTCAGAACTTCTTGACAGATACCCATAGTTTGAAGTCATCCATGGTCTGAAATTGCCATATGTATCATAATAGCCAACCAGATCAGAATTGTAGTATGACATTTTGTTTGTGGCAATTGCAAGATGATTTGCGAATACACATCAACGTTTTATATACACGCCAACCTCTCACGAGGTTATCAAACATTAAAACAAATAGTTGAATCACGAAGGTCTGGTCTGTCCTGTCATAACGACTTTTAAAAAAATGTATGCTGATTACGTGATAACAGTATTATTTGAAAACTAATCACTTGTGAATTAACTAAACCACCGATCTCAGAGGATAAAACCACACGAAAAAGGATATATTTATAACATAGTGTTGGATGCTTAAATGATATTAAATATTTAGTGGGGTCAAAAGGTAATTCAGAGAGACTTCTTGCACCTGGACCCGCTTATTTTAACATATGGACGTGAACGCAGCTTGATTGCAGACATGATGGTAGAAAAAAGGTAATTAACAAGACAAACCACGAAGATCAACATGTGATGTATATTTCGAAATATATGCCATCAGAATAAACTGCAAACTCGTTTAGTTGGAGGCTGCAAAAGAACAAGTGGAAATGACGTGATAGCTAGGTAAATATAGTGGTTGACTATTGAAGTTTCTCCGGTCTACCCAGTCGGAAGAATACAAGGGATGTCAGATGTCACCTGAGCAGCATCGTCTCAAAAACAGACGGTATGTAAGTGGTTGTCAAAGCCAGCCACGAATCAAATGCAAGACAGGCATTAATTATACTTAGGTCAGAACTAAATCACTCACAGCTAAGAACGTCCGAGTTTTTCATACTGATACTCAGCACTTCCACTTGAATCAGAGGTTTGGCGCATCACGAAATGCCTTCCGAAAAGACAAGAGATTTACACCAACAGCTATCTTGGATCGATAGTGATGGTCGGAAAAGACAAACCACAAGGTACTCCAGCAGTGAACCAGCTAATCCTGGTATCCAGCGAGGTGGTTTTCTGCTGCCATGGTGCAACGGACAGAGGAAATCCAGATCAGCGTAAGTCACCACATCTGTACAGATTTCAGAGGCTGGCGGTATTGACGTGCGCGAATTGTACGGAGTATACTAACGCAAGATCTAATACCAACACTTCTGTATTATTCGTTCCTCGTTTACCAAAGGCAAAACAAAGCTGCAGAGTTTGATCGTCCAAACTACCAGATACATTTCGGGACCAAATCGTGGACTGAGGTGAATGCTTAGCTGGCAATTGATCGTGCACGAACGTGAGACGACGGATTACCAGACGGCCTGGATGTTCGACTGAAAGCCTTCAGCTAAACAAGTCGACTTAAAAAGTGAGGGTCAGATTTCGATGCTCGATGATGATTGCTGTGGTCAATAATTTTTGGGGATTTATTTACCGCTACAAGATCAACCAGCTTGTGCCTACTACTGATGTCCCAAAAGGCAGCCAAACTGGGTTCAAAGGAATGAAAACGCATGATCGTGGGGTATCGAGGCTATATGTTCTTTCAGTTCAGCGTTTCATCTCCAAAAGGCAGCATTTGAAAGACCGTACTAGGTGCGGTCTAGCTCAGTTTGGCATAGAGAACAACTGCCTTCATATCGAAGGTGTATTAATATAAAAAGGTGACCCCATTAGTACCTAAAACCTCATTTCTACCCTAACCAACCATATTGGTAAATCTAGAGTCCTCCACTTAGGTAACCGACCTCTTGGATTGGATGATGTAGGATGGTCACAGGTCCTAGCTTCCGTGTGACGATTCGGTCCTTAGAAGACGTTCATTGTTGGCGAGTACACAAGATGCAATTATCTGATAATACAACCACGAATGTATTGTTTTGACATAACCTGAGAACAGCTGTGAAGCCCATTGCAGGAAGGTAGGAAACATTGATGAGCATAAACTGCCAAAGACTGGTTGTGTTGTACAAGTATGAGTAAAGCGAAATGGGGGAAAACGAAAGTCATACGGTTAACAAGACACATGTAAACCTTTAAGACATGCATGGTATAGAGAAAATCTGTGCATAAAAAATGTGATTTCAGCGAAAAATAATGGGTATTAGGTGGCCATTCAAAACTTGTGTGGGAATCTCATTTTACTGAGAACACTTCTTTTCTGTGTCTCTTCGACAGCCTCTGTTGTATTTGAGGTGTTGTAGACTTTTCAAGTACCAAAGGCTGTTCCACTGGGAAGGATGTTACGTCCAACAGATGTGTTATCAGGTTACCCTCCAAATGTGCCAGTTTTAGACGGCTGATAAGAAAGTTGTCTTGCGTTTTATGGCTCTGCATGGTCCTTTCGTCATGTTAACCAAGGAGATGAAAAGAACTTTATGAACTTGGGTAGACAAAAGTGTTAGTCAGCTTCAGTCGCGAGGGAACATAATATACTGAACGCTTCGTGCTAGTGAGTTTTGGTGGAAGGTTCTAGTCTGCTGTGCTGGAACATGTGCAGCCTAAAATTCTGGTCGACGCTAAAGATGAGACGCCCTCAATCCTCCACCTGCAGTTGACTGTTTTCGAGAATGGGCATGCTTAATTCACAGTCTATCTTCCAAGTTGTAGTACTACTATTATGGCGGATACCTTCCCGTAGGGCATCGTTTTGAGCCATTGGGTAAAACGATGGACGCAAGCCAAGATATCAGTATATCCATGGGATTCTGAAAGGGGTCTAACCAGGTCTATGTCGAAGTGGTTGAAACTGTACCTAGAATAAAAGACTTGCCAAGTGAGCTCTTGAGTGTCTCATAACTTCGCTATTTTTTCAGGCTGTGTAGATGAGAGCTTACTAATTTATCTTCTCATTGAAGGTAAGAAGGGAAAACCAACTGTTGATAAGCTCAGCAGTTGCTTCAATACATCGGTGAGATAAACTGCGTAGCGTATTGAATGCGTTGTGTCTCTAACCTCTAGGTAAATCATAACGACGGATATCACTGGAAGCGACACAAAGAACTAATGCGCTACAGGTGTTCAGTTTCTGCGTGAATCATCTTTCCTTATTATTTTAGGAATTAGCCGCTTTCCTCGCAATATCCACATATCCATACTTAACAAGGATTGTATTGTATCACTTGGAACTACATACAGTACTCACTCGTGAAATCTACAACCCGGAATCTTCTGATACCCTCTCTAACCACGTGGAACTCAGGATTTTATCCACAGCAAGCACTGTTAAAGGAAAGTCTGACTTTTTATTTTGCAATATATTTCTGTTTATCGTAGTTGTCTTGATACTTCGATAACACAGCTATCCTCTTTTATATCCTCAAGACATTTTTCCGGAAATTGTGAAAATTCTTATTTCCATAATGGTTAAGTCAATCAAACGTGTAAGTACCGTTAAGAGACTGAGATTTAATACTAGTCAACCATCTGAAGGGTTCAGCTCCGTTGACCATTCTACACTTTTGACACCAGACACATCCGGAGTTATGGTATCTGATATCATGGAGGAACTGAAAGAGAATGCGGTTTGTAGCATAAATAATTTACTGATACTTCAAAAGTCAATGGCAGACCTACAGAGCAAGTTTGACAGCATAATGCCCCTCACTCAGCTATGTGACCCATCACAAAACATCTGTCTTGAATCACTTATCAAATCAGAGTGCATAATTGACTATTTAGCTGCAGAAGCTGTTAAGAGGATTATGTCTTCACATAATGTCTTGGCCTATAACATTCCAGACAGAGAGCCTATTGCCAAACTTAAAGCTTCGTGTCTAAAGGCTTGTAATATGTCGTTGACAGAAAGTCAGGTTTTGCGTCTTCGTAAGAAATCTGCAAACCACTCATGTCCGGTGCTTTTCAAGTTCAGATCTAATGATGAATCCAGGAATTTTTTGAAAGCTGGTAAGATAATAGGCTCTTCAACATCTTACACTAACATTAAGGTTGCACTTGATTTAACACCATGCCAAAGACGATGCCGCTCAGGAACACTGAATACTGATAACTCCAATAGGACAACTGCAGATGATGTTCCATGCGTTATTCCGTTCACTGAAAAACCTGGTGTGAAGTGGAAAGCCAATTAGAAACGGAACAGCGAGGTAGTAGGTATTATTCTGCTCATCCACTACTTAAGCCTATTGTTAGCCAACCCCCTTCTAAGGTTCTATCAACTGAAAGTTATAGAGAATCCCCCAAATATCGGCCACAGACTACATTTAGCAAGCTAGCAGAACCCACTCATACATCCTATGTATCTAGTAGGGAGCATGTGCCAATTTCTCCAAAAAACTTGCTATGGTTTGATGACTACCCGAAACAAATACCAACACTTCATTCTTGTACTGGCAACAAATTACCGAATAATCATATTGGTTATAATTTCGGGCAGGATTTTCACCAGCGCCAGTTAACAGAAACACCTGGCATCATGCATATAGCACGCATGATATCAGATCAATTCCTTGCCGGCATAACGAACAGTCTACAGCTAGGGCAAGGCATATTTCCCGGGAGATAGCTGACACAGTGTCGACATCAAATGAGTCTAATAACATGTATATAGAGGATACTGATGGATTATTTTATCAAGATGTTGTCCACTCACTGAAACCACATAACCAGTGTTTATCTATTATCCTAGTGAATACGAGATCAGTTCTAAGCAAACACTTAACACTAAGTACATTAGCTTCTATATGCAGACCGTCATTGATTATGATCACTGAAGCCTGGTGCACAAGTGATATCTCCAATGATAGCCTAAGGATTGATAAATACAACCTTTTTCGGGGGGACAGACAGAGAGGTCGTGGGAGTGGAACACTAATTTACTGTGAACAATCTGTGTGTGCAAACCAGTTTAGTAACCCAATTCTGTCACAACTCAATGACTCGATCTGGGTCAAAACAAAAGTTGTCAGAAGTAAACCTATACTTGTGGATTGTGTGTACCGACCCCCTTTATCCAGCAGGGAATATGATAATATGCTCAGCAATATTTTTAATGTTACAGCCAATCTTCCCTACAATTATAAAATTACCGGAGGTGATTTCAACATGCCAGAAGTATCATGGTCTTCACTCCGAGGACCCCAAAGGTATGATAATCTCCTGAATTCCGTCGTCACAGGCTATTACAGTGTAACACTCACAGACAACAGGCACAGCCAATGAAGGGAGAACACGAAGATGCGGGAGAAAAGGTCTTTATTAACACCACGCAAGATTTAAACTGCCCGGGTACAAAGTTATTTATCATCATTTATAACAAGTCTCGACAACCGGTCTTCTTCTTCCTCCAGCAGGGCCACGTCTAGGTTCCTTTCTGAAAAATAGGAAATAGGGAACTCGTTCAGTGATATCATACAAGTTTTTATGTCATTACAACAGTTCAGCGTCCACCGGTTTTTGAACTGACGCTTTCTTTCAAACTTGAACCACCACAAGAAGTGAATTGGAAAAACTGCCACTTAGCATATACACAATCAAACAGAACGAACCGACCAATAGTGATCAAGCACATGCAGCCAACTCGTTCACTAACTCACCCAACACTTCGATGTGTATTCCAGTAATAGGTAGAAATCAGGGCAGTGCACCATTGTCACCGGGAACCGCTTACCTACGCCTTGAGTCGAAATCAGCTACGCTCTTCGAGATTCAACCCATACAGTCGTCGCCATCGACGGGTCGACCTGAATGTGCGATTTGTTTGAATGAATATCAAAATTATGATCGGCTTCGACATCTGCCTTGTGGTCATGCGTTCCACATGAAGTGCATCGACATTTGGCTGAAACAATCGACGACATGCCCGAAATGTCGTGGTGGCATCCGGACTGAACTGACTCGCTTGGAACTTGAGCTCCTTGACGTAAGGGATCAATCAAACAATGTAACCAGTGCAGCATTCGCACCTGTAGGAGCTGTTCGTTCATGCGTTTGTGCTTCTAATTCAGGTGCACAGCAACAGGTTCGTACAACGAATTCACGACATGGTTCAACCACCAGCACCACAATAATAGCAACAACTACAAGAGCAACGGCTGCTGCTATAGCTACTTCAACTAATCGAAGAGTTATAACGACAAGTAATACTGTTGGCGTAAGTTCTTCTGATACACCAACCAGTTGTCCAATTTGTTTAGAGAGACGACTTGCTTCTTCTTTCTATTCTTGTTCAACTACAACTACCACAACTTCTAGAACAATGTCAGCTACTACTAGTCGTCGTACAAATACTGTGGCTAGTAGACGAAATCAAGGGAATGCGTTGGATTCAAATTCTGGCCAGTCAAGCACTGCTTCGCTTACGTCCGCTGTTGCTCAGTCGATTGACAGTAGATGTAATCGAAATGAATTGACAGCAAATCCATACAATGCTCAAGTGAACACCACGTGTTCTAATGGAGTCAGTGAGTCGGTGATGGCTCGACAGAAGGCTGTCGAAGCAGCTATGCAACGAGAAGCAGAGTTCCGTCGAAGACAAGAGAACGAGCCAAATGGGTCGTTGGATTAATCGTGAGAAAAGTAGAACAGTGACTGGTACTTCTTGGCATGTTCTTTTGGAATTCGAGTGAATGACCAGTGTATTCTCCAGACTGAAAAAACATGTTTTGTATTTTTGATATATATTCACTAAACATTATAAGTTAACCTTGCATCTCTTGTGGCTGTGTCAGTTCATCTATATGTTAACTGTATCCACCTGTCCATCTTTACCTTTGACCCCAATTACTGTCAACCAATTTGGCTAGCAACCATCTCTCACCACAGTTGTATTACTAGCTACTTCTATACTTTATACTTCTTAAACGCGATTTCCTAGGCGTTTGTAAAAATACTTGTATATATGTATGCATGTATAAAGGTGATACTGCTAAGAATATCCTCAGGTATCGGTGTATCTGGTGACCTAATGGGAAGCGCTTGTCATGAAAGCTATTAATGTACAGCATACTGTATGATTGGGACGGGCTTAAAGCAATGCAATACTGCAACTACAGTTTGCCAAAAAAAAATCTCAGAGCCTAACATCAAAAAAGGAGGGAGGGTGGCGCACGCTGATCAGCAGATGTAGTAGTGGTCACAATTGTGAATTGCTCCAATCTGTAGGACAGCAACATGCATTTTTTGGCAGCTCAAGAATTAAACATTATTCTGGACCCTCAACAAGACAGAATAATAAGGGTTGTACAGATCCAAATTATAAAAAATTGCTTTTGATCCTACCATCTACAAGCCTGTTCAGCTTCTTGTCAAGATGCTACCCGTTGGGCCATACAGATTCGTGAGGCATCTTACAGGTCAGCTTGTTTTACTGCTTCTAATCTTCCAGATCTTTGAATTCGTTCCTCACTTAAATATCGCTCACCTACCTCACAATAATCTTTCTATTTACGCACTATTATACTCTATCCGATCTTAACTACCTAGGCCTTTATAAAAGCTAAAACTTGCTCTTTGTTCATATTTGTTGCTTGCTTTATGTCTGGTTGCTTTGATTAAAAACACAATGTTTGAACAAAGCTATATTTTCATCGGAAACGTGATAGTTTCCATGCTTAGACCAATATGGTTAGCATTAAACATTGCAAATGTAAACTATCATTTCAAGTGCTATATAGCTTCTTCTCCTTGCATCTTGTAAATATACTTTCAACGATGTTTTATTCATTATTGCATTTTATACCATTTTGCAACTGCGCGGAATTTTCTTCTCTTCCTGAAATAGCGTTCAATCACGTGGCGGTATAGCAGTCACACAGATATACGCTGTTCACTGGTTGACCATCACTATCAGCAGGAAACGGAACGAAGTTTGGGTTGTCGCTCAACTTTGATGGTGACCTTAGCGAAGGGTTTACAATTTAACATTTATAAGAACCTGTTCTAATTGCTTGTGCAATAATTGAACAATTCAAGCTTTTGAAAAGTAATAATTTATGATGCTTCAGGATTGTAATTTATAACGTTACTGATCGTGCCTGTAAAAATGGCATGTATTTCTTGTAAACTTACCCGTTTATACGAAATATAAATTATTATTATTATTATACATGCTTAACGTTATCATCTGTAATTTCCAGAATTGTTCTCTACAACTCACACTGAAGCTCATTATTATCTTCTTGAAGACAAGCCAGTTACAAGGCCAATGTCAAATGTAGTTTAGCCAAAGCAAATTTTCTGGTAGGTATATGTCAGAGATTGAGTTCAGAGAGCATTCGACTAGCTTGTGGTCCAAGAAAATTATCAGTTCTCCACTTTCCACCGAATATTGGTGACGACAGGGTGCTCCCTCGTGGTCATGATCTTTGTTAAAATCATACGGTTGCCTGTAGTACTTGTATTATAGTCATGTTCACTGAAGTATCACCATCAACCGCTACATTGAGAAGACTTTCTTTGAGGTCAGGACTACTGTTAGGGAGTTGCATGCCCGAAGTGTAGCTAATGAAAGTCACATAACTGTGTCTTTTATAGTTAAGGTTTGAAGATCGTTAACGGGCCAGCCACACTTCCATCAGAGATTGTTGGGGTATTTACGGAATCCTTTCGTCGATAGGGACTACTTAATAGTGTTACGAGCAGTTTGCCCTTGCTATTACAACTAACACAAGACCAGCTATCGACAGATCCCTTCTTCGAATTCGCGGTTGCCTGTAGATCCATGCATCCGTGCATCACCAGAGTATTCCCTAACTAAACGTTGTGGGCAAGCTCTTTGAGAAGCTGGAGATCCACGAGATAGTTTCCTTTAAGGATTACTGCAGTAAGTGTCTCCTAAGGATCACTTATGTCCGAGATCTACATGTGTGAGTTGACACATTTACTTAATTTCAGCCGCAATTCAGATGTAACTTCTAGGGAGTGAGGACATATGATATTTAGGCCATAATTATGGAAATCAGCCAGTTTTCATAAACCATACTTCATCATTATTGGGTCGACGTGGCCTCAGTAGAATTGTTGGATTTGTCGGTTTGAGGGATTTGAGTTTCAGTGCCTGTATACGCGTGACAGCAGTGGTTATTAGTAAAATTAGTAAAGATATGAGAAATAAACTATTGCGAAATAAAACAGACTCATGGAACCTGAGTGAAATTTAGCTGCAGGCTAACAAGTATGGAAGACGAAGGTTCCTACGAGCACGGGTGATACGTTGGTATGGCTCTGCGTATTTTATTATTCAACCCCAATGTACTTACTAGATGTAGACCAGAGAAAAGTTAAGTCGGAACTACAGTTAAGTCGTTAAGAATACGAAGTATATTTTAGGATCAGTCAGGATGGGCATAGATGTAGGCTTAGCTGACTAGAAATTAGGCAAAAACAAAGGAACGTTCGAAGACAGGGTTCCAATCGGTAAGTTTGTCTGGTCGTGTACCTTCAGCTTAAGTGGTGCACCTAAGTAGATGAAGTTAGCACTGAGTACTGAATGATGGGAGCTCTAGGTAAATGATTTTGAGAAGTTATTAACTACCTCTGGCTCGTGCCAACAGTGACGATTCCCTAAGACGATTTGACTAGACTTCTGGATTCGGTGCTGTAGAGTTAGGATGTTAGCGGCAGTTTTGTATCAGTAGAGTTGTGAGACCGATAAAGAAGCGTAATAATAAAATATGTGGCATAAAATGGTCAACATGACTATAAAACTCAATTATTCTCTATATGACACTACAGTACATGTTCTTGTTTGCACTGAGTTGGAGTATTTCCACCAACTCACCTTAAAACTTAGTACTTCAGAAGTGGTATAAAGCCAATCATGGAAACAGCTTTGCTGTGAAGATAACTTTTTGAACTGTTTACCGAAATGTGATGTTCTGGTGGTTCTGTTGTTTTATGCTACCTCATCATTATCATCTTCAACTTCTTTTGCCTTCACCCAGCGATAACTTTAAGTTTCGTTGTGCAGAAAAACCACCTCTGTCAGGTGCATGAGTCGAGGTCGCTGTGATAAATAAAGAGCACAGAAAGAAAACAAGAACCCGTGTACTGACCACGCAGAGAGTGCAGGATATGGATTAAAAATACGAGGAGTTTCAGACTGAATTATAGAGACAGAGGTGAAGGATGAGAAGAGAAATAGAAAGGTAAACACTAGATATGATGATTAATTATACAATGAAACAACATGATCACGAGTAAAAATAACAGAGGTTCAGGAATAGATACAGAATATCAGTGAGTCGATGTCTAAGTGTCTAAGCTTATCCACAGTGAGCCTTACATTAGTTTGACAAGGTTAAACACAAGATCTTGTTAAATAATAGTGAAAAATGCCAATTTAGAGGACAATAACTTCTCGAATATTGTTGACTGCATTAATGAGAAGCCTGAAAAACGTTGAGACATGTAGGAATTAGCTAGATGTGTGTAGAAAAATAAAACTTTTCAACTTAGGGCAAACGCTAAAGGCTTACTGAATTGCTGGAATTCTTCTTTGACAAGATTAGTTTACAGATAGCCAAAATAAATGTCTTAATCAAAAGTAGGAAACGGAAAAATAAGGCCATTATCTTTTAAGATTCAAACTACCAGGCTCACTGTAATATCAGAGTGAAGGGGGAAATAAGAACTTGACTGACGGTTCATCAATAACTTCAACGAGGAAGTGAAGTCTCTGCACAGAACGCTAATTAGTGTGAGATTTATCTAGACCTAAGATGCTAAGCTAACACTTGGCCCGATGAAGGAACTTTTGAATAACCACCAAACTGTCTTAAGATCCTCAGTGGCAAAGAAGTTGTTCATATTTTCAATAAACATGAGTGATTGTGGCACAGTTTCAGACGTAAGACTGGACTATAGAGTATGTTGGCTGCGTTATGACCCCTGAGGAACAGAAGTATTCTATTGAAGAAAAGAAATGTTTGGTAGTGATCCGGGCACTAGAGAAATAAATATGATACAAACGCAATAGGCGATTTGATACTGCGGCCTACCACTAAGCTATGTATATGTTTAGAACTCAGTCGTGAAAATTCATTATGGCTGTTACATGAACAAAATTATGACTTCGCAATCCAGGGAGATAAAATATTGTACCTGATTACTTGTCAAGAGCCGACAGCGAACTTAAACTAATGTAGATAATTTAAGGGGCAAATACCCACAGGACTGGCCATAAGCCATCCATAATGGAAAAAAAATGCAAATGAACGCAATCAAAGTAAAAATTGGAGGCGATTAGAAGTAGGAATTCAGATAAAGTGTTATGAGCGGAACTTTGTAGCTTCAGATTGACCAGAACCAGTAGATCTGCTGGGGTGGGAAGAACAGTATGTGGACGCAATCTGAAGCGGTTCACTTTAAGAGAGTAGAAAGGGAACAGGATAAGCTATGATCTTTTCGATACAAGAACGAGGAGAATAATAATCTGAGGAAGGGCTAGAAACGCATTTAGTGAGCCATTTGGAACGGTTACTTAAAGGAAACAATGATAAGAATAGAGGATGTTGTGTGTTACTTAAAATAATAGATACAAGTAGTACATAGTATGAAATATTTAGGAAAAGCAGTGGTAACTTGTATATGACTGGAAAGTTTCAGAGGAGGATCTGGAAAAGAGATCTAAATGAAAAGAAACCTGATGCAGAGTGGCTGATGTTATTTATAAATAACGGAATGAAGTGAATGTTACTTATTTTATTGACGTCAGTCATTATC